AGAACAGATTTAGAACAGATAAAAAATGTGTATTTAATAGGCGATTAATAGCAAGTTAACTATTGGCATCAGCCGATTAATCGCGATTAAATATTTTAATTAATTGACAGCCCTCATCTAAATGCTTAAAAAGTAGCTAAAATAGTGGATATACATTTGAAATATTTAGCTAAATAAAAGAAATGGATAAAGGGCTGGAAGAGTTAACGAAACATAATGAATATGCAGTTCAAAACCTTAGCTAAAAGTACTGTAATGGCTAAGAGGCTGAAATAGCTAGACGTCCAGCATCTGCCACTAGTAGCATATAGTAGAAATGCAAACTTGGCCAAAGTAACCTAAAAATAAACAGATTTATTGTATGAATACTGTAACAATATTGTAAAAATAGTTTGAAATAATAGTGTGAATAGTGTTAAAATATCCAGTTAATAATAAATTCAAAGGAACACACTTGGAACCTGATGTGTGGTGTTGATGAAGGGGTACTTGAGTTCATCTGATAGGAATGCAAGGGTACATCTTAAGGACAGGTTGGCCGCTGCACCAAAGGAAGAGATGCCACATTCCCCTGAGATGACTGCTCTACAGTCAGTTTTAAAGCCTCCCACAGCGGTGCATTTATTATGGATTATGGAGGCACAGTTACACAAAAACTGAAGTTGTCTAGTCAGTAATAAAAATTATAATACCTGTGCAGACACATTAAAATGAGCCAGGATATCAGAGCATATGTTAGTTTATGATAAATATACACTGCAGGATTATGCTTCCTCTGTGAATCATCGTCACTCAGGTCAGGCAGGAGCCCAGCTCTTATACCTCAGCACCAAGATCAAGAGAGAGCTGTTGAATGTGTGCCCTTCATCCTCATGTTTGAGGAAAGCTGATTTTGGAGCCTTTTATGAAACTATTATCAGTGCAATGCACACAGGTATAGCCAATGTCTGGCACGGATATATATCTCTATATGAGTAATGAAATAAACCCTTAAAAGAAACAGCATACATATAGATATGTATAAACAGCCTAAATGAAGCTGAAAATATTTACCTAAATGTAATATATCAAAAAAGAAAAACACCTCGGGGGAAAAAAAACTACTTCCTTACTTATTCCCATTGGCTAATCCCCAGACCGGTCCTCAGACTTTTCTTAAGTATTTCTAAAGGCTAGTTCAAATGAAAGGGACTGTAACATTCAGGAAAGTTAAATATTTTTCTCAGTGTTTTCCGGAGCAAATTTCTGCTCACCTTCCTCGGGGTGTCGGCTGTAATCTCGGTCACTGACGTCACAACTTGGGCAAATAAAGTAAGGAGAAAAAATGGTTTTATGTGGTTTGGTAAACTGACCTTTAGGCCCTGTCTACACGTATACAGAACGGACATTACCTCTCCGTTTTAACAGAAAATTCTGCCTGCATGACTTTTAATTTACAAAATCTCCATCCACACTAGAATGCAAAAACAACTTCCACAGTCACCCTTCATGCAAAGGTAGTAAAGTTTAACATTGCAGGCTAATGTTACCTTTTTCAAAACTACTACTGGAGATCTATTCACTGCTGATTCCCCTCTGAAGGTGCAAGAGCTCACTCAAACATCCTGGTGATGCTCCGAACATGCAAAAGTTTTCCTTCCACTCATAATCAACAAAAATCCCACTCTCAAAATTATCCAACCATCTGCGGGTTCAACCAGGCCTGCTCCAAGATCATAAATATCTTCACTTCTGACAGTAAACCCATTGAAAGAGTATCATCATACATATTGCTACTCTAGAAAGATCTAAAATTAGAGACACTTATATCATTGATGAATTTAAGGGCATCATTAAGAATGTGGTGACAGAGACATGTGCTTGTTTTTCTTGAGAGGCCACTATGTTTGAACAGTTGTTGTTTTACTGTGGATTTTTGTATTAGATGTTGTATTTGTTGCATTTTAAATGTGTTCTGATTGGCTGCTACCTCAGCCGGGTCTCTCTTGTAAAAGATAATTTTCAATCTCAATGGGACTTCCTGGTTAAATAAAGGTTAAATAAATAAAAATGATTTCTGGTGGGCTTTAAATCACAGACACTCAGATGGACTAAATAGCAGTGGCTGCAGCAGACAGCTTTGTTCATCCATGAGGTGGTGAAGCAATAGCTGACTAATATTTAAGTATAACGTAGTCATTAGACCGAGCAGGTTACCATGTCCACCATTGTTGTCACTGTTTCTGGTGCATGCTCATTACACAGCAACAATGCTCATTACAAAGCAACAATTCTCCTTTTCTAAATGCTTTATTTTTTATGTCCACTTGTATACAAAGTAACCAGAGTTTTGAAAAATGTGCACCTTAGAAAGTATTTTCAAAAATCTCAGTTTTAGTGACTTAAACCTCCACTTGCATGAGGAAGAGAGGCCAAAATGAAAAGGAAAATATCCATTTTCTGTTTACATGTGGACAGTACGTCTGTGATGTGACATCAATGAATTTGTTGATTTAAACAAACATTCACAACCTTAGTGCTTTCAGTACCTCATCACAAAATACATCCCATAAACATAAAATTGTTGCATGTATCTTTTATCTGAGCTGTAAGTGGGGTTGATGGGATATTACAAGTTGGATAACTGTGCAACGTTTCCTTTGGTTTTTCTCACTGTGGCATAAAAGAGCAGTCACTTATCCAGATCAAACAAGCTCAAGCTACAAGAATAATATGCTTCAAAGCAAAGGCAGTGATTTTTTTTGTTTACACTATGAATGCTGTTTGAGAGGGGAGCTGTCATACGGTGCTAAAAGAAGTGTAGTCTACCACCACGTACTTGCTTGTTAGCATGATTGGTAGAGTGTGGGTGGGGTAGTGTGTGTGTGTGCGTGTGTGTGTGTGTGTGTGTGTGCAGGGTGCCGTTTCCTGACAAACTTCCCAGTCCTCTGTACCATGTAATATGAATCAGTTATCATCCAGTGCAGTGGATTCTGTGGACATTCAGCCCCTATGTGACCATTTGATGTTCATTTTTATGTTACGGTGGTGCCACAGCAGGTGGTGCAGGTGGTGCAGGTGGTGCAGGCAGTGATCTGCCTCTCCCCACTAAATCTAGGGAGACGATTAGAGGGAGAAACCTGCGTGAAATAGCATGAGGATAATGTTTTGTAACCCTAGTTATATCATCACAGACAGAGACCTGAAGCCTTTCACCTTGCTATTTCATCTGGCATTCACCATGTCACTGATTTGGTGAATACTGAACAGGGTCAGCACTGTGTGAAAACAGTAGGCTTGCCTGATTATCTCTGCTACTTCATGCAAATTTCAGTCCAGAGCAAAAATGGTCAAGAGCCCTTTGAAGGGCTCTTTCTGTGACCACACAACTGCGGCTACAGTTCATAACCTGTTTTCATTTTGCATCTAGCATCTATTTGACCTGATCATTCTTGAGGTTGTTGTGCAAGTTAGCTTGCCCATTCTGAGTCTAAGAAGGCTTATTTAGTCATGTTGGCATACCAGTGACCAGAATAATATGGCCATTGGTATGTTTCTGCAAACCACGTATATGTTGGATTTGTATGCTTCATATGTAGCATATATGTTGAAACATTACAGGGTTATTTTAGGTTTCAGTTTTCAATTTTATGTGTGGCTACGTTTAGACTCAAAAACATCTTGGTCATGGTAAGGAAAAGATTATGTTTAGTCTTGAAATACCCAGTATTGTTGCCACAACAACCACTGGAAATGTGACAGTGTCACCTTAAAAATACCCAGCTGTTGTTGCCACCCAGACAGCATTTGTGTATAGGGGCCCATGTGGGAAGTAAATGGCCTGAAAAATGGGCTCTTTATGGGAATGCCCATGGATTCCGTATTGGCTCCTTGCCAATTGCCCACATGGAGAAGTTTACCCAAGTGGGCCCCACATGAGTAATTCTAGGGCTGCCTGGGTACCAAGTGGGTATGGGCCCAAAATGGGCATCTTATCTGGGACCCACTTGGGTAAACCCACCCATGTGGGCAAATGGCATGGGGCCAACATGGAACCTGTACACAATCCAATATAGGGCCCATTTTTCAGCCCCTTTACTACCCACATGGGCTCTACATATGAATGTTTAGTGGGCACAAACACCACTGGAAATTTCATGAAGCAGCGGTCTGCTGCTTGGCAGTCTTCTTGCCTATAGGTCTCACAACATCCACCATCCCTGCTCTTCCTAATGAGAAACTCAGCTCCTACTCAGCAACTACTTGACTTTAGAAATGTTGATATGATACACATGAAACACACATGAAGTGATTTGCAGAAACACAGAATGCCAACATGTCCTTCTGGTGACAGGACTATCTGTTGGTGGGTCCAACACTTCGATCTAGGCTAACATATTTCAACAGCAGCCATGAAACTGGATATGCTCCCATAAGGATACATTTTAATAATTTTGCTGATCTCCGGATTTTTCATTTGGCAACACCACCAAGTCATAATGCATGTTGCTGTATGCTAATGAGCAAATGTTAGCATGCTAATATGATAAGCTGTGATTGTGAACATGGTAAACATCCAGCTGAATTGGAGAGGATTTTCAACAAGTCACATGCACTGTATTCTGTGATGCTATTTCTTTTGTTCATTGGTTGCTAAACATTATTTTTCCAGTAAAGCAAACTTACTCATGTGGATAAGCCTGATAAGTGAGTCATGAATAAATAAGTGGTCCAAGTCAATCCAATCCATTAGCTCTCAGCCAATCACACACTTAGTCAGGAATTTATTGAACGTTTTTTAGACTGTGGGGTTATTGGAATTCACTTACAGTTAGCCCTTCTGTAATCAAAACCCTTTTTAAATAAACTGATTGTGCATTTATTGTATTCTGTGCAGGGTGTCTAATCAGAATAAGTAATTTATGCTTAAGTGCAAATCTGATACCTGATTTTAACTGATATGTGTCATCCCCTGATCCTACAATTCTTACTCATATTACTTTTTTAAATGTGTCTTTCAGATCCTGGCCATCATCTCCATCCTCTTCATCGTGCTATCCACCATTGCCTTGTCTCTGAACACCCTTCCAGAGCTGCAGGACACTGATGAGTTTGGCCAGTCATCAGACAACCCACAACTGGCCCACGTGGAAGCTGTGTGTATTGCCTGGTTTACCATGGAGTATCTGCTTCGCTTTCTCTCCTCACCCAACAAGTGGAAGTTCTTTAAGGGTCCTCTGAATGTCATCGACCTGCTGGCCATCTTGCCCTACTACGTCACCATCTTCCTGACAGAATCCAACAAGAGCGTGCTGCAATTTCAGAATGTCCGCCGCGTGGTTCAGATTTTTCGGATTATGCGTATCCTGCGTATTCTAAAGCTGGCTCGTCACTCGACAGGTCTTCAGTCCCTGGGCTTCACTCTCAGGAGGAGTTACAATGAGCTGGGCCTGCTAATTCTTTTCCTGGCCATGGGCATCATGATCTTCTCCAGTCTGGTGTTCTTTGCTGAGAAGGATGAGGAGGATACAAAATTTAAAAGCATTCCAGCTTCTTTCTGGTGGGCTACTATTACTATGACGACAGTAGGCTACGGAGATATCTACCCAAAAACTCTTCTGGGAAAGATAGTGGGGGGTTTATGCTGCATAGCAGGAGTACTAGTGATCGCCCTACCTATTCCTATTATTGTAAATAACTTCTCTGAATTCTACAAGGAGCAGAAGAGGCAGGAAAAAGCACTTAAACGAAGAGAGGCCCTAGAGAGGGCAAAAAGAAATGGTAGCATTGTCTCAATGAACTTGAAAGAGGCATTTGCTCGAAGTGCAGAACTGATGGATGTGGTGGTAGAGAAAAGTGAGAGGCCTCACGACAACCATCTTTCTCCAAGCCGTTGGAAATGGACCCCCAAGAGAGCTGCATCAGAGACCAGCTCAAACCGTTCCTTCAACGCCCAGGATTTAACCTCTCCCAACAAGGCCCGAACCACCAGTCCCCAGAGGCTAAATGTCCAGAAGCTCGAGGAGATGTACAACCAGATGGCCAAGACACAATCCCAGCCTAACCTCAATGCTAAAGATAGGGGCTCCAGAGTTGGCAAACAGAGGGATGAGATAGAGCTGGGAGCTATCCAAGATCATGGGCCACCAGTGCTAGGAACCAGAGAAGGAGTCGGGGACATGAAAAGCTTGTCCAGCATTGACAGCTACATCAGTTGCGCTACAGACTTCCAGGAGAATACACGCTTCCCCCATAGTCCAGCAGTTGACCTTGGTCTTCAGGAAAGCAACCGGTACTCCCACAGTCCAGCTACAGCTTTGTCCCAGCACAGCAGTACAAAAACAGGCCAGCAAACCATTGGGGAGCATGAGCCCATGCTGACTCCTGTGTCTATCACAAAGCCCTCATGCTCAGAGAATGCACGGAGATTCTTCTTTTCTGGCAACTCCTCAAAAAGCCTTATCAACAAGGGAGGCTGTCGCAGTGAGGGGGAGTCAGGCCCGTCCCCACTCTCAGACAGCTCAGTCCTGTCAGACCGCTCTCTGTTAAGCCCTGAAGCTTCTGTCTACACCACTGCCAGCAGCAGAACCCCACCCAAGTCCCCAGATAGCAGCACCCAACTGGCCCCAACTGTCTTCACCTTCCACGACTCCTCCATCAGCAAATACATTGATGCTGACACAGATGACGATGAGCACCTCCGCGACATCTCTGACACCAGTCCTTCAGAGCGTCTTTTGGCTGGTTCAAGCCCAAAACGCAGCATCAACATCAATTACCAGAAAGGCGCCAACCATTTAGAAGCAGCCCAAAAAATGCTGGGACAGAACTGTCTGTTCCCCATTGAAGGGATTCGTGGGGTAGCTCATGAGAATCACGTAGGACCTGAGATGGCACGGAGACCAAAGGTTGAGAGGATGCGTCAAAATACTTTGGATAAAAACCTTTGAGGTCCAAGTGCAACAGAAATAAACAGAGAGCTGGAGCCAGAGTGTTTTTGGATGGAGACACCAGACAGACTAAAAACACTCTGTATTCCAGAGATGAAGGAGGAGGGAGAGACAAAGGGTCTCTGCGAAAATTTCACAAATTACCTGAGCATGCCGTCAGGCACCAAGCTCAGGGTCAACATGTGTGGTGAATACTCTGGGAGAAAAACACTTTTAAATTGGAGAATGTCACTGCCCCTGCTTCAACTCATTCCTATTAGTGGTATAACACAAACAAAAGAGCACTCCCAGGTAGCCAACGGGTCTGTTCAGAGATCCCTGTGGAGGCAGAGACGTAAGAGAAGTTCAAATGTGATTATAAATGGTGTAACCAAACTGAATGATGGTTTTAGCATCAGGGGGATATCTCTAGTATAAAAAAAATCCCAGCTGCCCACTATCCCACCACTGAGTTCCAGTTCATTTTGTAGTCTTGGAGATACAGGAGAGGACCTAGAAGCCTATAAGCTACTTACTTGTGCCCTCCATTCCCAAAACTGGCCTTAGTCATTTACATTTGTAGGGGTGTGCATGTCTGACTATATTGTAAGTGTGTGTGTGCATGTGTGTGAGTGAGCGTGAATGTTGATGGGTGGTCTGATGGTAATTCATGTACACACACTCTTGAGATTGTCTTACCTGATTTATTTTTATATAGATAAGAGAAAGTTCCTTATAGAAATATGTGATTTGCTAGTCTGCTCTGTCATAATCATATGTGAAGAGTAATCCTGTATAAGGTTCAATGTCTTGGCACAGAGGCTGCGGTTATCGGAGGCTCCAGCCCATCATCCATTATTATGAGCGCTCTTTCTTGGGCAGTATTTTGCTATCCCCTATGTTATCATGTCATGGTGCGAATGGATGATACTTTCAAATCTTGAGCAGTGAATATTGTCTTAGCACCTCAGTATCATTTCTAAAGGATGTTAGTGGTAGTGGACCAAGACTTTTTGATATGGGCTATCATAAGAGCCAGAAATAATAAGCTTGAATGCTGCATAAAGCGCACATTTATGAAGCATGCATGCACCCAATCAGTCAACATATAAAAACATGAGATGCTTTTAGAAATGAAATATATAAAAATCCTCTAATATAGTTTTTTTTTTTAATGTTTACAGCATATCATCACTGACATAAAGTTTAGACTTCAGTAACAGTTGTTCAGCATGCATTGGCCTTCTTTTGAACAGCCCCTGGGGCGTCAAATACAGCAGCTTGGTCAGTTGCCATTGGTGTCTGATTTTGATGCACAAGGAACCCCTTTAGCATCTGTATGAGATGCACCAGGCTTCCAGCTAACTCCAATGTAAACCCACTGGATGAGAAAGTCCGAGTGGGGTGGGACAGAAAGAGGGGTGGTGGGTGGGTCAAATAAATACAGGACTTTCAACCCAGGAGACATCTGTTTGGGTGTCAAACATTCATTTTTTGTAACTACTTTACATCGTTAATGTTTTGTCAGTCACATACATCATGTGACATAGTTGTTAACTTAATTTAGGTTACAAAACAAATATATTTATTTGAACTCAAAACTTTAAAACCTAACCAGGTAGTTTTGTTACCTCAACCTAAAGTAGTTTGATGTGACAAAACCTGCGTTCCTACATGGAAGTTTATTTTGAAATGATACTACACATGTAATGAGCATAAATTGACATGCCGTCCCTGAGCATCCAAAACTGATGCTAGAGGGTACCTAGAGCCTCATAGTTGACCAAGCTGACATATTTGATGAATTGAGAGTAAGAATGTGTTGACACGAAAGCATCCAAAGAGATCACACTCTGAGAAAATGGAATAGGTGTGTATTTGATAGTGAAAGCAGGCAAGTTTTCCATCTCTGCTTTATTCCTTTAATAGTCAAGATAAACTTTAATGGCACTAAATATAAACCGCCAGGTTAACTTTAAGTCACCTGTAAACACCTGACCAAATGAAACCCATGCATGAGCACACACACTCATTACAGATACATACAGGTATGAGAGGCCATTTTCAGGATACATACAGTAGATACATTTAGTTTCCATGGAGACAGCAGCTCTTCCCAAGGACTGGCAGCAGCTCAGCAACGGTTTGTTAATTGGAGCGCCAAGGTCTGAATGCATGTAACGTATGTTCAACATATATACAAGAACTCACACATAGGCATGTACCCATAAAGGGACAGGTATGCACAGTAGTCACATGTAAGCAGAGCAACTCCTCACTGTGCATATTTATGAGTATGGTGTAAAAGCAACATTATGATGTGAGGACCTTGTACATACATTGTGTACATGTTTTTGTCTAAAATCTTTGTAGCATTCCATTAATACTGCAATTCCCTGCAATGCATTCTCTATTATGTGTTTACAGTAAGTGTCACTTCATATATAATGGCATAAGACAAAAGTACTGTTTCTGCTGAGAGGAGCGTAATAGAAATGGTCTTCATCAGAATCCTAGCCTTAAAAATTTGAATTAAATCATATATTAAGACAAACATACTGTTACTCCTTTAGCCCCTTGAAATATAATTTCACAGGCTGTTCTAGTGCAGTATTCATATGTTTTCCCATGAAAGTAATGCACATATCCTACCTAATCATGATATAATGATGATCATATAGATTATAGATGATCATATCCTTTCCCCAGCAGACTGGTGTTTGGAACCATGTCAACTTTGAGTCATTTTAAGGTACATCATCACCATGTTTCTCTTTCTAAACCTAACGACAGTAACTTTATATTAAGTATATCACATGAACCTTTGTATTAGGATACAATAAATTTAAAATGGGAAGGGCAAGAGTCTTATGTCGTTAGAGATGAACAAAGGAGAATCTCACTGCCAACTAAACAAACTCTTAAAGAAAAGTGACCAAACTTTAAAAGCTTCATGACACAAGTATAAAGGCAAAATCGACAAACAAAAGACGTCATTGCACTTTTAAAAATGCAGGTGTTGAGCAAAATTGTATTCAAAAGTCAACAGAGGGTGATCGACATTCATTTTTTAGTGTTGTGGTTAAGAGTCTAATCACAAACCCTGATTTCATTTCCTGTTTTAATCACAGAGTTGAACCATTTCATATTGCTCTCCCATAGTGAGAGGAACGGAGGTGTGAAAGGAATAGCAATGACTGTGAGATGCAGAGGGAACCATGTGTGTGTCTCAGTATGTGTGTGTGTGTGTGTGTGTGTGTGTGTATGACAGCTGTAAAGCCAGGGCATTAGAGCAGTGTGGCTGCCACTTAATGGAAAAGAATGAACTGTTTATCAATGTATGCATGTTGGGGGAATCCTGCTTCTGTTTTCTCCATATTATATCAGCAGTTCTGACTCTAACATGGAGCAGTGACACAGACTGAACTCTAATCATATGAGTGATTAAGATCACTTTAGCACACATTTCAAAGTGCAGCTTCATTTACAGCTGAGAAGAGAGGGATGGGAGGCACAATTTATGGATCTTACTTAGCACATGTCATATAATTAGGCAAGGATGGGTGGTTTGAGCTGATAAATTCATTTTATGCAGCTTCATACACTATGAACACACATTTCTTTTTATAATTCAAATTAATTTTCTGATCATTGTCATTTCTTGCACATAAACAAAAAAAATCTGCATATATTCTAAGTTAAGTTCACAAAAACAGAAAACACTCACACCCAAAATGATTTTTAAACATAAACTTAGGTATCATCTGCAAAGAAGTGTTCCCAGATTAAATTAATTGATTTTTAGAATGAGAAAATGTCCTTTTCCATCACAATTAATTGCACATATTTAACATTTTCCAGATGGCCTCTGGTCATACTTAAATTGAATCATGTTTGAAAGTCTCCTGTGAATGGCTGCTCCTTTTCATTCATTCTGTCCACAATGAACTTGTATGATTCAATATACCACATTAGGAGGTGGAAGTGGCACAGATTCAGTTGACCCTTTGCTAAACCCCACCCCTTTGTGATGGTCCATCAAGCTGTTGGAGCGAGCATAGAGCCCACACTGTAAGTAACTGCACTCCCTGAAGAAATATTAGCAACTTTTTGGAAAAATGATGATTTCAGAGAGGAGACACAAGGGTCTACAATATGTGTTTGAAGGATATATCCAGGATGTCAAACTCACTCATCAACAAAAACAGGTTAAAAAAGATAAAGATAGTTAGACCATAAAGCCTATAGGCTACGGGTAACAGTATTAAAGTGGCCCACCACATCACCGTTAGAGACAGAAGACAATGAATATAAAGGGACACTTGTTGATATTCAACCAGTTGGGTGTCATCACATTGTGTGCAGATGAACGGTGTTCGTCTTCCCCCCATGCCACCAGACCCGCTGGACCTCCACCAGCGGGCAGACGGGGAGTTCCGGGGGAAGCCAAACAACATTCATTTGCAAACACTGCAATGACACACAGCTGGTAGGTCTTTATTAACTGTTATAATCTATAAACAGTATAAGCAAAATGTGTATACATTTAGTAAGCTACATCTTCAGTAGCCAGTTAGCTAACCCTACACTTTTAAGGCTTTGATTTTGGTTTTGGAACAGGCAAGAAACATATATCTTTTTGATGAGTATCAAAATGAGTATCACAATTGCACGTGCCTGAGGCACAACATGTAGCTCGAAATCCACAAACCAGCCTGAAAATGAAGAAAATCAGAATCAATTGCATTAGAGTCAATGGAACACAGCTGTGTAATTGTCGGACCCTTGTTGAAGCTGGCCAGTGCTGGGCTATGATTGGCCAGTCTGCGTTCGAGGGGTGGGACATAGCAAAGGGTCAAGTAAGCCTGGTCCATGTCATTGTTTTTTTTCATTTGGCTCATAGACCACCAGTTGAATGCTCGTTCTTGATTGAACTTTTATAGCATAATTATCTCATGAAAAGTCAAGGCCAATGTATGCCAACACCTTTTACCTTTGAGATTTCAAAATGTTCTCTTAAGTTGTAAAGAAACAAATTTCAGTCATACGTGTTCTTCTGAGTGCATTATATCATTTTTGAAAAATGGATGATTAGGTTTAATTGTTAACACTAAAGTGAAAGGCATTCAGATCACACAACCTCTCATGAAGCATCACGTGAGCTTCTGTCCCATCATTTAGATTTTCTATATTTCGGTAGTCAGGGACCATTTTTCACTGAAATATCTCTTAACAATGATGACAATCAATATTACATGAACAGACAGCAAGCACTATTGTAGAGAACTGAGATTTATTTTCCCACGTGCATACACACAAACACAAGCACTGAAATCCTGCCACCAGTACTGGTACTCTTCAGCTTTTAGACAAGGTAGTGCAAAAGAAACATCAAGCATGATGTGTTGATTTGACACCTAGACTGTGATACTGTGACATGATACCACCATACTACAAAAACAATATTCATTTTACAAGTCATCCTTGTTTTTATTTCATTTTGGCACTGTACTATCCTCCATTTCCAAGGGAGCCATTCAAATTAACAAAATCAATCAGTGAGATCCCAGTGGAGAAATTCAAAGGACTGAACCATCATGTTTTATGAAGAAAACACAATCGAGAGACTTGTTTTATTTCTCATTTATTGACACACTAAGATGAAGAGCACAGATTCTCACACTTTTCCATCACAGGACTCCCAGCTGTACAGTAAATGCATTTAGTTGAAACCTAAAATAGAATTCGGCTGTTGCCCTAGCTTCTAAATTTAACTGTAAAGAGGTTCAAGTATTTTTTTCCTTTTTTGTTAGAACCCCATAGGACCCTTTTCAAGGACATGTGGTAGTTTCCAAAACCCAGTGAGAACCCCTGCTTTAGCAAGTAGCCCAGTTCCACATCCTCTGAATCTAACACTGTATTACAGGGTTGGGGTCGATTCAGGATGCCTTGATGGAGTAAAACACGCATCACACATGACACTATAGAAGGAACCAGTATTAGAGCATGACACAATTAAAACCTAGTACAAATTAAAAACCCAAATTATATTTTTTCTACATTTTCAGCTCTCAGTGGAATTGACCCCAACCTTGCCTAAGCCATCAGTCTTTGTAAAGTACACTGTTTCCAGGGAATTGAAAAAAAGATATTTGAATGACCTTAGCCAGCTCTTATACAATGTTGTTTGTAGGTCCCGAGGCTGTCTGTTTTGTACAAAAAAAATCAAAAAACAAACACATTTTTACTTGTTGACTTTCTATGCTGTTGTTTCTGTATTAATGTTCTATTGTTCAGTGCATGTTGTAACTTCGGCGTTGTGACTGGTTGTGATTCACACAGAGCCAGTACTTGTCATGTAAAAAAAAAAAAAAGTGTCTCAATGTCCTAAGATATTTCTATTTCTTAAGAAAAGCAACATTTCCCTTGGATGACTAAATGAAATAAATCAGATCACTTTACATTTTGATCAGGAATTTCTGACTTTCATTTTACTGGTAATTTGCAGTTTTCAATGCAAACCAAATTAGGAAAATGTATCATTAGTGTTTTTGTTGTGCAGTAAAGACAACAAAAAATTATTATATTCTGGCTAAAGCGGGATTTATACTTCTGTGTTGAATCCATGATGTACCTAGAGCGAAGGCTCTGCGTCGACGTAGCCTGTGGCCATAGGCTGAAGAGCCAGGAATGTAACTACAGGTCACGGTGACGCAGACCATCTGTCTATTTTTGTAATCTGAAACCATTTCAGGCTCTGCATAGAGGTGATGCACAAGTATAAATCTTGCTTAAGATATAGGAATTTCCATTGGCACACATTCAGCCACATTCCACCCAGTGTCACTCCCAGCTCGTCAAATGCCGAGGCTTGGTCAGTGGCCCTCAGCATCAGACGCTGATGTACCGAGGCACCCTCTAGCAGCAGTACTATATGCATTGGGTGGTGGCAGTTTTTAACATTCTAAGCAACTGCTGTAGTAAAAAGAGCAAGAAATTCAGCATAGAGTGGGTCAAACAACGTCTGTGCTTTCAACCAAGAGACTGTTTATTTTGAAAAGATGCCGTCCCTGAGCGTTCATAGGAGGTGTAGCCTACCTAGAGCGTCATATTTTGAGGTGTTGGGCCACTGACCAAGTGTATTTGACGAACTGGGAGTGAGCATGGGTTGCCATATTAGTAAAATGTTTACATGTAGTTTCACAAATCTGGGGAAGAAGGCACAATGGACCATTGACCAGAACTCTTTAACACAACAGGTTTAGTGGTCAGTGCTTATTATTCTGGCTGGTTTCTATGTATTCTTGCAGATTGCTCTTTATACATGAGTCTGAGTAAATATGTACAGAAGGCAGGCAAACAGTGAGAAGGAGGAGGAGGTTAGATGAAGAGGAAGCTGTGGGCTGTTGGGCAGGAACAGGCCTCCAGCCTCCCTACTCGCCTCCACACACCCCTGCATCGAGGGTTTCCCACTGCCTGCCACTGGAGAGACTGCACTTTTCTGCAGGAAGCAGGGAAGGAGGAACGGGTTAGTGTTGACAAGATTTCTCTTTAAATCCATGTGATAAACAATGTTGCCATCTAGTGGTAGTCCTCGCTGTTAACAATCACATCTGAGAGATAGGGTGTAGATCAGTGGTCTGGGATGAAAACAAACAAAAACAAAACTTTGGAAATGTGAATCAGACTGTTCCACATATTTATCCACCACTGCACCTCTCAGAATACAGACAGGCTTTGTGTCAGAGACAGAAACAGGTAGAACATGCTGGATTTTTGCAGACACCAGAGACAGGATCCTCTATCTATGCGGTGCTGCAGTGTTTGTTGGCCATACTGATAAGCGCATACACCTGCTAATATACTCCCTTTTTTTTTATTTAAATACAAGCCCACTCCCTGTGGATATGGTTAGGGTTTGAATTAATTTGTTTGGGGATTAAAGGTTCTCCTCTGACCTCTAATAGCACTATGGAGCAGTTTTCTACGAGCGAGTCCCTGTCTCATGCACATGCACATGTATGCAGGTGACAGTATTTCTACCAAGGGTGTCACACTATTCCACTGATGTACTGGTGGCGGCAATCTCGGAGCCCATCAGCTTTCAGTCTGATGATGATAAGCCTTTGGGAGCGAGGGCCAATATTTCAGGCAGATAGCCTCTGCTTTCTGTGCACCACACATTTCAGCTAATCTCTATAAACAGATATGTGCATATGAATACAGATAAATCTAAAAAACCTAATATAAAGCTAACTTGTCGTCAGACAAAATCTAATGGGTTCCAAGATTGCATTTAAGCCGACGCGTTCCCTGTTTACCTGCCTTTCAAACATGATTGGTCAATACAACCTGGACTACAAACGGAATCCAGAACATTTCTGATACCAAATTCTTGCCTCATTGCCCAAAGATTCTGCATAAATATGCACATATCTGTTTATAGAAATTACTGGGGGCAGCAGCGCTCGAAGACATGCAACAATGCACCAACAGAGGCAGAAAATAAGAAGCCTTTTTACTAGTAATAATGCATTTTGGTGAGTAACACTGACTGTATACAGGTAACTTTAAGGAATTCTTGCCCCTGCATTGAGTTGGTGTTTTGGTTTGTAATTTAATATGGTGAAAATATTTGTTTCTTAACAATGTAATTACAGGAAATACTAATATTTTTTAGCTTTTTTTTGGTTTGCATTTTATTGTAAGAGGGCTAAGGAACAGGGGAACAGTTTGGCGTTTTGGGATAATTTGATTTCATGCCGCGAGTTATGGGAGAAGATCTATACCAATATTATGTGTATACAGTAAATACGCTTCCGTTAGCAAGTGGTTACATTAATTTAGCACAAAGGCTCGAAACAGGATAACAGCTGGTATGGCCCTGTCCAAAATTAACAAAGTCACTTAATCCTGATTTTTAATCAAATATATCCTCCCAGACTTCAGTTACATATTAAAGTACAGACAAGATATTGGTATCATCCATCTCATCTAACTCTCGGCAAGAAGGCAAATGAGTGTACTTAGAATGTTCAAGTGCTGCTACAGGATCATTAAAAGATAACTGTCTGGTTCAAGGGAGTGATTTGACAACAGTGTAGAAATTTGTATCAGATTATGTCACGAATATGATCACATTTCCTGTGCATAACACACCAAACTAACATACGTATTGTATACACATAAACATAAACAATATTCAAAGCATTTAAGCCAATTTGAAACTCAGTCTTTTGTCAAAATGATTTCCTGTTATTAATCATGAAGCGCAAGTGGCGTGTTTTTAATTTGAGTTATAACAGCTGCAATTACTTTCCAATATACTTGGTACTGCTTTAAGATGGTAATGAGAGAATACTTGACTCCACCATTGGGTGAGGCACAAAGGTCACCTTTATTGGTGTAGTGAAGTTATGTGCAAACAGAGTTTCTTTACATACGAGCAAAATTAACTGCAAGCCAATTTCATGGTTGAATAAACCCCTGGCTGGGCTTTGAAAACAAATACCTTATCTATCTCTTCTGGTCATTAACGTTTCCGGAACAACACAAGCTTAAATCTGTGAGGCTTTTGAAATTCAAAGAATGTTGTCAGACATAACTTTCTCTTTTTTTTATCATGGAAATGTTCTAATAATCTTACAAAGCTTTCTCTATGTTCTTTTTATTCCTACCTGTCCTCGTCGTGTTTCTCTCCATCCCCGGCACAGTGTGTCTGTCCAGCAGCGAGAGCAGGTGGCTGGCACTCAACACACACGCGGTGCCCCTCCCTCAGGTGCTGCATCCACTGGGTGTGTGGGCCTGAACTTTGCTGGCATCCTTTTGTGAGAGAGGTCAACTGAAACTGGACACAATACCTAATATCACACACACACACACTCACACACACACACAAACCAAACTCAGAATAAATACATATTGACAAAAACCGAGAACACACCAAAGGCTAAAAGACTCTCTGAATGTGTTACCCTATGATGTCGCTGCTGTCAGGGATGTCTCTTTTCTTCCTGCCGTTGCCATAGCCACCAGTGATAATCAGTGCTGGGACTGCAGGGGGAGCATCCATGATAAGAACATTACATGTGACCATATGTTGCAATACCCCATACATTTAAATGAGCATGCTGGGAAAATGTTCATGAAAGTATGGTTCTATGATGCGAAACAGCTCGGCATGCTGGGAGAAACAGCTTAGGTTCATGTGCTTCATTAGACACAGTTTGCTGTGGAGGGGCAGTGGCTATAAATCATGCTGCGTGCACTCCTACAGTGTCTCAAGACCCCATGCATCAGTATGTCTTTTGAAGTGGAAAACATACATCACAACAACATAGCTGCACTCAGTATACAGAACAACATGGTAACCTCAGCATATTTAAAACATTTGCATTACGATTCTGTTAAAAAAAAAAATCTCTCTAGTCAACAATCTGTAGTCATAGTCTTATGATGAATAATAATGCAATAATTGTGCGTAAGGATCCAGGTAGATGTTCTCTCACCCAGTGGGTTGTTACAGCTCCCTTGGTGAGACCAGTACTCTGCACATCCAGCGTGCTCCTCCAGGTGGGGACAGGGTTTGCCTGCATTGAGCGCCTCCTGCAGGATTGTCCTGCTCCTCCTGCGGACTGTGGCCCTGCAGGGCTGGGCGCAGCCTGACCACTCCGTCCACTCGCTCACCACACACGACAGCGCTGAGGGAGAAGAGACAGAGCAAATGCAGCTGAGGAGAAAAACAAAGTCAGCATCATAAGAATCCCCTGATAGCTGTCAGATGTCTACGGAGCAAGATGCCACAATAATGTCAACAAATCTGAACATTTCAGTGACACTGTCGGCCTCCTAGCATGGAAGTCTCTCTATAAACAGTTGCCAGATAGTTTGGATTTTTTGAAGTGGGGTTCTTTTCCATAATCAATGTATTACATACAGTAGATGAGAGTCGGCATGCCCCCAGTTTGGAGAAGCAGGCTGGAGTCTGACATAGAAACATTTTTTAGCCACCTAAAAAAAGTCTCACCTGAAAAAGTGTACACTACATTGAGAGTATTTATTCCTTCAAACAGGAGAGGGAAGCCGATTTAAGTTTCAGTTCCCCATCTATGCTCCCTCGTCAACATCACCAGACTTCATTGGCAAAAAACTGCAAAAATGATTTTGGCTTGCTGAACATGGGAGCTGCTGGTCTACTGCTGCTTCGATCATTAACTTAGTTTCTGTCACACTTAGTCACACAATAGCACAAACAAAAATTTATCAGGGCAACAGTAGTCCAGCAGCTCCTGTGTTCAGCAATATTAAATCACTGTTTTTCTTAATGGAGTCTGGCCTCGAGGAGAGCGATACCACAGTTTAATTTTCCAGCTGGAAATCACTGTCTTGACATTAAGGTAAAGCAGTGAATACTCTGAGTATAGTGTACACTTAAACTGTTGTAGATCGTTTTACGTGGAACTTAAAGTTCAGTGGAGTGAGGTAAGTAAGTAAGGTAGCTGCGATGGGCCCCAGTGCACACTATTGTGCACATATCGTCTCGTCACATGATCAGAGACCTGACACTGGATAACATTAACAAACATATTACCCAACAATCATCAGTGCATATCTGTAAATGACAAAAAAGAAAAGAAAATAAGAAATAATTACTTTAATCTAACAATTTTATAGTTCATTATAGTTTATTTAGAATAAGTTCAACAGTGTCAAATATACAGCAGCAATATGTGTATCAGAGTCAAATGCACATTTGTAATATAAAATAAAAAATAATAAAATAAAATAAAGTAAATAAACTTAATATTAAGTATTATATTTGCACAAATTTTGTTTCAGTTATTATTACCTGACCACTTATATGGTCGTAATTGACACACACAAGGCAGACAACACTAGTGTCCACCGGTTACATAAGAGTATAATTTTGTTGTAGATGCTATTGACTGTTTTACAAAAGACAAAAAAAAAAAAGGAAAAAAATCACAAAGATGGGTTTGCCTTTTTCAAGGGCATATTGCTAATGGCACTGTTTTTAATTTAAGAGGCGTTCTTCTCAGAACACAGACATATTTCCAAGTTGGCAATCACTCATAAGGGCCTGTTCTCCACCCAACACATTGTTGGAGGGCCCACTCTCCATATGCCCCCCCACCTCACGGGCCCCAGTACAACCCACTGCCTGCACTGTCTATATTAACGCCCCTGTACCCCATACAATCCCACTTCAAAAACTTGAAACTATCCCTTTTGGGAGGAGCCAACCCAGTGTTTCTTAGCATATAAATACGTCTGTTAATAAAAATCTTAATAACAGAATTTTGTAAATCTAATTTTACCAGTTCCTTTTTTGATTATGTTTTTCCTGTTGTATAGGTTGTGATGTATTTTACTGAGAAAGAATTAATAAAGAACTCTTAAACAAGTCAGTCTTGAAAAAAAACTTCACTTATGTCACTAGATTGTTGTAGTATTTGATAAACACAAGTTTTGTTGTCAGCACGGACCCACCTGGGCAGGCTGTCTCATAGTCGTGGCAGCAGTCCAGGGTGTGGACACAGGCCTGGTCGCAGTAGCAGGTGCCATAGGAGCGGTCAGACCTCCATCCTTTGCTGATGCATGACGGGTCCCGGCCGGTGCAGCACAGACCTGTTTCCCGACAGCCACACTGACACGGACCAACGAGGAACAAACACAGTCCGAGGCAAAGCAACGTGACAGAGCTGACTGTCATCACGACCGAGCGCACACATGCACGTCAACACGGTTGATGCGCTGTGCAACAAACTGTAGGAGATATCCCTGTCTGAGGTTATTCACCAGAGAAGTTTAAAGTACTGTCCTGTTAAAGTACTTCAAAGTCTTAATATGAACTCGTGTCACCTGTGGTCAGTGGGGTCAGCAATGTGACCAACAGGAGCTGAAGCTCTGGTCACTGAGTTGGAAGTTATTCTGTGTGTCAACTCTGCAGCTCTTAAAGGAACAGTTCACCAAGTTAATGTCAGACTGAACAAGAAACAGCTGGCTCACATAAGTCAATTTAACCTCCTGAGACCCTGTGTCCTCATATAAGGACATCACATTTTGGGTTTACTTGACCTTATACTTCTTTCTACTTAACTTAGACCTGCTGTCCTCATTCATGGATACTTTTTGTGCCATCTAGTGGTAGTAAGAGCACAATACACTAATCCAGGAGGAGGATACACCATAACAAACATCTACTTTCACAGGATTTTACAGTTTATTTGCTACCTCACCAAATGCATTGCTTTCCTGATGTCCTGCCTTGCAAGATATTGAGCAGTAGCCTGCCCTGCAGTGTATTTAAATCATCTGTGTTGCATTGTAGCCACAATAATATGCAAAGAAAAGAAAGGTGATAGTGTTGAGTAGCAGAAACAGAATAAAAAGTTAGACAGAGATCCTCACTGGGATGCATTTGCATACACACCACATTTTCTGTAATTCGATGTCATGAAAAAAAATCCACCTTCACTTGCAAAAGCACAATAAAAAAATGTCTATTTGCTTAAATGATCTCTCTCTGTCTTCCTCTCTGTGTTGGTGAAGCCACCAGCTTCCCAGGCCCATGTGTGCCTCAACATGTGAAAAGAGTGGATTAATGAAACTCCTACGGCCGAGGTTATTCATGCAAAAAGAACAACAGTGTGGACAGTGCAGGCCTCCGCTTGAGCTAAGATTCCCAGTAGCCTTCTGTTGTGTGTGTAGAGGGAGGAGATATGAGCAGAGAGAGGGGAGCTGAAAGACTCCATACTCAAAACACCACAAGCTCCAGAACTGAGGGGAACATAGAAAAAAATCCTCTGTATTTTTTTAAAAATCTCTTTTATTGCTAATCAGTCTATTAACTTTTTTATTTCTTATAAATTCCTTTTTTTCCACTGAACTCCTTGGCATATTTTTTATTTCTGATTTTTATTTATTACTCATCTATTTATGTGTCTACTGTAGGTTATGCTATAGTATGAGTTCAAGGCATGCTGTTCAAACAAAATGTCCCTGGTGGGATTAATAAAGTTGTGTGAATCTGAATCTAAAACAGCAAAAAGCATTACCATGATAGTTGTGGATTCTTATGTGTGGGCCTTTACCCTGTGGCCCCTTACAAAAGTGTGTAGCTTGCAGACATGACGACCATTTACTGCTCCAGTAAACAGTCAGCACCACAGCCACAGGCTCGTACAGACTCCACTCACGCCCTCCCTCCTGTTCTTATATTTCTTTTCTTACAACATTTTTTCAACAGGAAACTTAAAGTTTTTCTCTTTAAAATAAGAGCCTTAATTTCTTAAGCAGGTCTCACATTAAAATTCAACTTTCTTTTATGGATTGTGCCTTAAAAGTTGCACAGATTCGATAAACTCTAAAAAGACAGGAATGGTCCAGGCTGTGATGGCGTCCCGCCAGTAGAAAACACTACACTTTAGAAACATAGCATTTTTGGCATATCTTACGGGGAAACTGGCTGGCAAAGAATCAGACACAGCTCCACACTGTATCCACATCTCTTGAGCTGCATGCCAACGTCCAGGTTATACCACCAGATTTAAGGCGCTCACTTTGCTGGTGTTTCTAAGTGTTGCTCAACAAGTCACAGTAGGGCAAAATTCTTGGCAGTATTTAAACTAACCTTCTTTACAGCTTTGACCCATTTCTGTAAATAAATTCGTTGTTTTAGAAAGAGAACGATTTGTCTTCATGTAATATTGTAATATTGTTGAGAGATAAAAAGCTCCATGTTTAAATGTTGATTGGCAAATAAAATTATCTAATATATCTTCACTGTATATACATAGATCTTAACATCACTGGTGGCAATTTCAACTGCGCTTAAGATGCAACATTAAAATAACTGAGAATAATGAATGCAGATAATCATTGAGACGGATTAACTCTCAAGCCAATTTCAAGATTTATAATAAACAGGTTCAAACATGTGATTTCACTTATATAATTCCCCAAATATAGCTCACATCTTTTGGGGGGGGGGGGGGTGAGACCCTGGGCAGGTCATCAGACTATCACAGGGCTGACACATAGAGACAGACAATCATTCACACTCACATTCACACCTACCTATAAAGTAAAATAAAATCACATGCCAACATCAGGATTTAATAAAGCTAGCAGCGGTCATCCAGAAAGCAAAAACGTGATACACAACAAGCAGCCCTCTGGGACATAAGCAACAATGCAGAGATTTACAGTCCGCATATACATAATCTCCTTATGTTCTTATTTAATATGACTCTGACTGTGCTGTGGGGCAGAGGTGGAGCTGGGACCAAAGCTTATCCTTGGATGTTGAAACAAACAGTAAACTTTATCTCACTACTTAATTAGAACTGTGAGGCAGCTGCGCTAACCTCTGAGCCACTGCACTGTCTTTACAAGATATTTGGGGAGTCTATGAGGTGCACAGTATGTGTATTAAATCACCAGCTCTTCATTTTCTTACTTCTGTACTATTCAAATATTAAAACGCTCATTAGTCCTCGTACAGCTGAGGCTGGGTTTCATTAATATACATCATTACTATTTCACATCAGGGACAAACTGCTCTGAGGTCCAACAATTAGTGAGAACTTTTGGATGCTAGATATTTATTATGGGGCCTTGAACTAATGGGGACTAATGATGAAAAATCACCTCTATGTCCCATTTAATCTCTTCACCTCAAAGTGAGCATGCGCACATGTAATGCAGACGTATGTGCAAGCTGTCAACTTTGAATTATGTCCTCCAAAGTCCCTGAAACTTCAAGAATCTTTACTCAGTGTAATGCCATCTGGCACGTTATTTCCCTCAGTGATGATGATAATGCATACATTCACAGCTTGCAACATAAGTGCTTTTATTAGGAGCTCAAGGTATTTCCTCTAATCCGGGAGGAGAGTGTTTAAATGAACCACAGATGGAGGCTGAGTCTCACAGAAGGAGGGAAACACCAGCTTGGCTGTCTGCATCTTTCACACTTAGTGCGTCTGTAGGAAACACACCTACACAGACAACAGGTGTGAAGTCAGATCCACTATAGGCGACGGAGACCATCAGCAGTAAATCAAATCAAAATGATTTTTCTAATGGACCTCCAGATGATGCTGCTGGATGTGATTTACTTCATCCTGCGCAACTCTGTGCGGGCCGTCCTGCGCCCACGCACCAAGCCCATTGATAGCGAGCTGGTGCTGATCACAGGCTCAGGTGGAGGCCTGGGTCGTCTCTTTGCTCAGGAATTCACCAAGCACGGGGCAGTGGTGGTGCTGTGGGACGTCAACAGCAGCGCCAACGAGCAGACAGCCAAGCTGGTGCGTGAGATGGGGGGTAAGGCGTACACATACACAGTGGACGTGACCAACAGGGAGGATGTGTATCGCAGCGCAGACCTGGTGCGCAAGGACCTGGGCCGGGACGTGACCATGCTGGTGAACAACGCCGGAGTGGTGGCTGGGCAGCGCATGTTAGACTGTCCTGATGAGCTGATGGAGAGGACCATGAAAGTCAACTGCCATGCCCTCTTCTGGGTGAGAGTGCTTTGATCAGTATGAAATGTGTTGAAGATATTTGACCAGTCACACCTAAAGTGTTGAAGAGAGGTGAGACAAGACCTGACAGGAAGTCCAGCTGCCCTTGACTTATTAATAGTGCTACATTTAAGGGCTGGAGGATATGGAGAGATTCATAGATCACAATATTTTTGATGAAATACCTCATTATCTCTACTGCAGTGATATTGTAGGGTTGAATATTTGTGTTTTCAAAAATATTCACACAATATTTTTGATAGATGATCATCAGTAATGAGGATTTGATGACTAAAGACAAATAATAAAACAGGAGAATACAATACTTCACTATCAAAAATGATACCTAGTCTCATATCATGATATTGATGTAATATTAACATATTGCCCCTGGTGGACAGTGGAGTATCTGTGTATCTGTGTCTGTCAACACAACTTGCAAGTATTCATTAACCAATGACTGCTGTAAATAACATAGCACATGTAGATATCAGGGCAACGACAAACAGTTAATGGCATAAAAAGAGCATAATAACAAAAAAAAAACACAACAAAAACTGTCTGACCTTCTCTTAATAACATCATACCTCATATTATTCAGCTGTAGTCTACTCAAAGACAGTAACAGACACTAAGAACATATACACCTGCACCTTTTAATCATTCCTCACCCCCCGTGGGTCTTTCTCTAAATTCTTCTATTCATTCATTCATCCATTTTCCATAACTGCTTATCCTGTTGGGGGTCACAGGGGGGCTGGAGCCTATCCCAGCTGACCCTGGACAGGTCACCAGACTATCACAGGGCTGATACATAGAGACAGACAGCCATTCACGCTCACATTCACACCTACGGACAATTTAGAGTCAGCGATTAACCTGCATGTCTTTGGACTGTGGGAGGAAGCTGGAGTACCTGGAGAAAACCCACACTGACACGGGGAGAACATGCAAACTCTGCATAGAGGGGCTCCCCCACCCTGGAGTTCTAACCAGGAGTCTCTGCTAACCACTGCACCACCATACCGCCTTTTACTATACATGTATAAAGTTTCTCAAACGTGCACTATGAAGTAAAGATAAAGACAAAATACAAATTCAGACCATTTTTCTAGCTAAGTTGAGTCCCTTCTTCCTCGCCTCAAGCATGATGCAACCTGCCCTCTTTATCCTAGCAACAAAGAGCTCCACAGATAAAGTCTAGGACTAGTCTTTTACGCAGCAGTGCACACTGATAACCATAGCTGCCTCTGAGTGTCATTAAAGTTCTGCCCTGAATCATTATCAAGTAGAGTACATGCTGGAGAGCAGTCAATCTGAACACCCAAAA